TGTCTCCAGGATTGTGAACTGGTTCACATAAGTGACCTCAGGCATTCTCTCTCTCTGTACCCCTCTACAGCAATTTATGGATCCATTCTTAGTAATCCCAGTTGCCTCTCCCGACACTCACTATCCTGTCACACAAACAGGTGTGTTCCTTGTTTGGGCTTCTGGATTTATCTATGGACATCTCAATCCAAGCATCATAGTAGTTTGCATTTGGTTGTTGTTTTTTTTTTCGGTTTATTTTCGAGAAAGGGTTTCTTGTGTAGCCCTGGTTGTCCTGGAACTAGCTCTGTAGACCAGACTAGCCTCAAATTCACAGAGATCTACCTGCATCTGCCTTCCAAGTGCTGGGATTAAATGGATGGGAGCATTTGGAAAAAAGAAGAATTGGAGGTTGGTGAAGTGAGAGGGTGTCTTTACTTCTCAGGTTGAAGTCTGGATGTCCAATTTACTGATAAACAGCCATTCTTAGTCTGTTAGTTTGCAGCCTATGTTAAATAACCATCCCTGACACATAGTTGGACCATATTGAGGAAGATGGGAGACACTTGCGTCTCTTTCCCAAGCTTCCATCCACAACTTTCTCTGCCATCATTGTTACTCATGCATCTTCATAAGCAGAGAAGGAAAAAAGATTTAAAACTGTCAGAGAGCCAGGTGTGGTGATGCAGGCCTTTAATCCCAGCACATGGGAAGCAGAAGAAGGTGCATCCTTATGAGTTTGAGGCCAGACTGGTTTGCACAGAGAGCTCCAGGGCAGCTAAGGTTACATGTAAGACCCTGTCTCAAAATAACTAAAAATAAAATAAAATAAAACTGTGATAGCATTTGGGAGGTAGAAGCAGGAGGATCAGGAATTCAAGGTCATTCTCATCTACACAGTTGCAGCATGGGCTGCATGAGACCCTGCCTGGGGGTGTGTGGGGAGTAATGGTCTTAGTAACTATAAAATCTTAAACATGTAATCTCCTTAGATGTTACAGTGAAAAGAAAAGAAAGTCATGGGGGAGAAGTCAAAGCAAAAGACACTGGACCGACCTTGATCTTTCTTGTGGGGAACAAGAAGTTGGGGTAAGGTGGCCTCTGCTAGTGACTGTATGGGTGAGAGAGGAATTTTTCTTTGGCAAAGACTTCCTGGTCAGCTAGTAGCTCCTTGGCCCCCATGGAAAGAAACTGAAAACTATGTAGGGAAAGGGGAAGAAAAAAGAAAAGACACATGAGCCATATGGAATTCTCTATTTTCCCCCTCATACCATCTGGCTTAAAATCTAAGTAAAGGATGGCAAAACTGTGTTGATTTTGGACCCAAGAAACCCTGGGGAGATGTCTCCTGGGGAGACAACGACATGGCTGGGTCAGGTCTTCTCCCTCTGTGATCTAATCTTTTACACTGTCTGTTGTAATGTAGCTCTAGATACAAGTGAGACTTCAAACATACATTTATTTGGCGCTTGAGAAGCCAAGGACCGAGATGAATGACTACAAAAGTCAACACAACACACATACAAACCATTTTAGGATTTTGGAAGCTCACCCTTTACAATTTAAAGTTCAAATCAAATGAAAGGATTTTCTTTCCCTTAGACAAGAACCTGATAGCTCCCAGAATTCATCCTTGTAATATCACCAGCAACCTGTGACCATGGGCAGCCTGGACCTCTCATTATACCAACAATTTCAAAATTCCCCAAAATGTAACTTTTAAATTGGGGCATGGAGGGGAGAATTGCAACCTCGTGTTGAACTCAACTTCTTTGGTGCGGAACCTTGAGTTAATGGCCAACGGAGCTTCATGGGCTGGGCTCTCAAGAAAGGTGAGTGACTGTAGTAGCAGTCAGACCTTGCTTGTGGGTGGGAGGGCATGCCCTCAACAAGCAGTATCATCTTCAAAAACCCATGTTCCTCAGGGTCCTCCTCCTTCAAAGAAAACCAATTTCAGGAAAATCTTTGAAGCCTTACTTTTTTTGTTGTTGTTACTCAGCTGCAACTGCAGCTTCAATTGCCCCACATTCTGAGGTTCCAGCTGTTAAGGGAAAAACAGACACATCTGTGCTCTGCTGTAAAATTGCTTAATGCCTGGAGAACTCTCCAGAACCACAAGCACAGGTATGTTTTCCTCTAGGCAGATGATTGTTTATTCTTTACCACACAGCCTAGTGTCTGCTGTTCAGGAACTCAAAGCTCTTTTTGATTTCCAACTACCTTAGTATCATTAAATTGGTTTTTTAAAGATTTATTTATTTATTACATATACAGTGTTCTGCCAGAAAGAGGGCACCAGATTGAATTGTAGATGGTTGTGAGCCACCATGCGGTTGCTGGGAATTGAACTCAGGACCTCTGGAAGAGCAGTCAGTGCTCTTAACCTCTGAGCCACCTCTCCAGCTCCATTAAATTGGTTTTCACATTTATTTGTTTTTGTGTGTTACACACACACACACACACACACACACACACACACACTATGGTCAAAGGACAAATCACAGAAGTCAGTTCTCTCCTTCTACCATGTGAATCTCAGGTTATCAGGCTTGGTAGCAAGTGCATTTACTGAGCAATCTTGTCATCCCCAACATTTATTCTTCAAATAAATACCATGCTGTCTGAAAAGCAGTTTGTGATTCCTAGTGGGTAACAATACTCCCCTTCTCTTTTGCCCTTGAGTTACATACATATAATGGGATGGGTTATGTATGGTCTAACTAACTAACTAACTAACTAACTAACTAACTAACTAACTAAACATGGCTTCCAGATATAACTTATATACCAGAAAATTCACTTTTTTAAAAGGTAGGAACTTATTATGTATTACTGGAACTGTGTAGCCCAAGTTGGCATTCAATTCATGGTAATCATCCTGCTTCTGCCTCCCAAGTTCTGGGATTATGGGTATGTGTCCCATTCTGCCAGGCTCTCATCTATTTTAAATGCTACAGTGGCTTTGAATTAATCTGGAGTTGTATAATCATCTCCACAATCTAATTTTAGAACATTTTCATCACCCCAAGAGAAATTCGTGGTGCTCATCTGTAATCAATCTCTGCCCCATACTCCCCTGAGACCCTGGCAACCATTCTCAAGGAGTGTCTCTAAGGACTTACCAGTTCTGGAAACTCAATAAAAATGAAGTCTTGGATGCTTGGGCTCCTATATCTGGCTTCTTTTACATAGCTTTATGCCTTTAATGTGTATTATGTCACACTATGTAATGGTACTTCATTCCTTTTCATTGCTAAACAAGGATCCATTGTATAGTTGTATTATATTGAATGGCAACAGCAACTTTTAAACCAAGATCCCATCCCTCACCATCACATTCTTTGAATGATCTATGCTAAAAGTTGCTCGCTTCATTCTTGTTCACCTTGTGGGCACACACAGAACAAGCAAGCACCTATGGGCTGGGGTTGTAGCCCTTTGGTAGAAGGCTTGCCTAGCATGAATGAGGCCCCTGGTTTGATCTTCTGCACCACATAAACTGAGTATGGTGACATGCACCTGTAATCCCAGCACAGGGTTATCCATCAGATGTTCAAGGACACCCTGAGATACATGAGATTTTGTCTCAAAGAAGGAGAAGGAGCAAGAGAAGAAGACAGAAAAGCAGTCACCCTATCAGCCCTATGTGGAATGATGGAGTGCATGACCCAAGACACAGAACTAAAAGCAAAATCGGATTTCATGATAATTAACTTCATGCTTCCATTTTAGGTCTTAAAGGAAAGAGAACAGGTCTTCCATTCAACAGGATGTTTTACACTATCCCTCAAGATGTTTCTTGCTAGTGCATTTAGCACACAGTCATTTCTTTGTTCTTTTTAGGGGTGTGTGTGTGTGTGTGTGTATGAGTGTGTGCGTGCACATATGGAGACTAAAGGTTAATGCTGGGTGTTTTCCTCTCTCCCTTAGTTTTTGAGACAGGGTCTTTAACCAACCTAGAGCTCACCAATTGGCTTTGAGCTCCAGTGATTCAACTGTCTCTACACCTCTCATGCTGGGATTTCAGATGCACAGCGCCATCTGCTTTTACATGGGTGCTGGGAATCTGAACTCTAGTCATCATGCTTGTGCAACAAGCACTTTTTACATTGAGACACTTCCCCAGCCCCTACCATTGCCATTTCTGCTTTATTCCTGAAATAAGTATACAACTCAGTTGGGAGAAATGACATCACAGGTTGAGACAAATTGATAGCAATACTGTAAAGCTTACTATTGAGTTTATCTGACCCATCATTGGTCCTTTCTGGAGCTACCATCCTACACTGAGCTAATTGAGCTGAACATTAAGACATATTCAGGCTTTGGGGATGGGGAATGGAGAGGTTCATACAGCTCAGAAACCTCTCCATCTCAAATCTCCAAATTGACCCATACACATTTTGCTCATACCTAGCCCCCTAATGGTCACAGAGGTGAGGGTCCTTCATGAGCAAGGAAAATGGAAACTGAACTCAAAGGATCTGCCTGGTGGGGAGTCTAATACATAGTTATCCGATCTTAATTTCACAGGCTTTGGTTTTGCTTTCCTGAAAGTATGGATTGATACTAAAGGAGGGTCGTACAAAGCAGTACCATTGAAGCAACATGTTAATATGCTCAAGACATTCAAAGATGAGACTCCTTGAAGTCTCTGACCCAGTTCTGGGACCTTGGGTAGATGTGTACAGGTCCTACCCCATTACTGATTCAGACATCTGAAAGTCTGTGGTTAACCCAAGGACATAGCTCATTGTACACTGTTCCCTTTGATACAAAGAAGTGGGTTGAGGAAAGAGGGGAGGTGGGAAGAAGGTGGAGAAAGATGGGTGGAATGGAAAGGGGGAAAGAAAAATGAAAATGATTAAAATTATTAAAGGGCCATTTCCACCCACACCCATGTCAACAAATGAATGCATCAAGCAAAACATAAAATATCACCAAACTGAAAGAGCCATTATAAATCACAATCAAGATAACAGTTGAGTTGTTTGTGTAATTCACCCCAAGGCTGTATTTACCTGGACTGCTCAAGGGGCCAGCCCTGTCCCCCAGGGTTGGCACGGGACGGTACTGATGGTTCTTTGAGCCTGGGTACATCCAGTGGTACCTGCCAATTTCCATTTCAGCTCTGCTGTTCACTGCCAATTTCAGTGGCAAAGAGTCAGTGTCTATCTCCAGCAAAGATTCTATTATCAGCATTTCTATTTATTCTCTTACCATATAGTAAAGGAAAACGGGGAGTTAAAAATATACTACCAAAATGCAATCCTTCGGTACCAATTTATCAGTTCAACATAAGTTTCAGAATCAGTTGGACTCTTGTCCTCCAATTTTGAATTGAAGTTTACACAAATTACCAACATTTCTTTGTTTCTATTTTCTGTATTTTCTCCTCCCCTAAAATGTTCATTTGGGGATGACAGTATTCATGGTAAAAATGTGGTTTCATATAATGTGTTTTTTTCTGTTTATTTCCTTTTCAGACCTACAGAACATTGTAATTCTTTTTTTTAAAGATTTTATTTATTTATTATGAATACAACATCCTGCCTCTACATACGTCTGCATGCCAGGAGAGGGCACCAGATCTCATTACGGATGGTTGTGAGCCACCATGTGGTTGCTGGGAATTGAACTCAGGACCTCTGGAAAAGCAGTCAGTGCTCTTAGCCTCTGAGCCATCTCTCCAGCCCGAACATTGTAATTCTTGCCAGCTGCACATGTGAAGGTGAACAGCGGCTCATTCTCCATTATGGTGCCCAGTTCCTACTCTAGAACTCTGGCAAATTACTCTGTCGTCTGTTGAATTCTGGATGAAACTCCTGCCTTCCCATTCACACTTGAGGTACCCTATGCCACTTCATCTTCAGCTCAGGGCATCACAGAGTCCAGAATATTCTGAATTGAATTCTACTTCAATAATCTTTCAGTGTGTCATAGAAAAGGAATTGCTTGTTCATATGGTAGCAAATGGTTTCCGGGGACTCCAGTCTCTATCTGGTAATAGATTTCCTGCTTCTTAGGGGACTATAGAAACAACAATAGTATTTCTCAATTTTTCTGGCATGTAATAGATGCTTCCAGTCACTGTTAACCAAATTCTAATCCTGAAGTTCTTAAGAAACTAAAAATGTCACTATGGGCCATCCATGCCTATAAATTCCATAAAATGTGTGAAGTGGTGATGTCCTCTGAGCTACTACAAAAACTTAAATAATTTTTAAAGAATGCCTTTGGCATTGATGTGGATAATGATTCCATCAGAAGATGAGGTTCTAATGTTCCATGTGGTACCTCAAATCATTGAAGACTGGATAAATAACCACACTGTGAGGCTAGCAAATGCCCATCCTTACCAGATACACTACAAAACTTGTCAAGCCTTAGAAACATCCCAATTCCACTTGACAGTCTCTGAAAAGCCTAGAGAGATTGGAGATGGGGGCACACTTTAGTTAGTGATACTCAAAGAAGACCCTTTTGGATTCAAGGTCAGATGAAAACGTCCTATTTAAAAGGGAAGAAGGGCTGGGAGTATTACTGCAGCACTGTGCAGCATGTGTAAGGCTCTGGGTTACATTTCTTTCTTTTCATTTTTGGGGGTTTTTTAGAGACAGGGTTTCTCTGTGGAACAGCCCTGGCTATCCTGGAATGAGTTAAATTTCTAACACCCCCAAAATATTAAGTAAATAAGGGTTCTCAAGTAAGAACAGAAGCGTACCACGAAGCTATTTTTTGCTGCTTCTGTTTGGGTTGTCAATAATGATGATAGCTATAATTTATGGTGTGCTTACCGTGTGCTAGCAATGGTATTACACACATGATACCTGCTGTCTCACTAGCGATAACCACCCTAGGAAATTATCATTCAATCTTGACAAGTGAAGAATGGAGTTCAAGAAGAGACCCATCTCTTGCCCAGGGATACAACCTGGAGGTAGAGCCTCGCTATGCAGTTAGAAAATCAGCCTCCAGAGGGTCATACTCAAAACCCTAGCACCAACCATTTCCTCCTCCTCCCCTGCTTGGGGGACCAGAGAAGTTCTACCTTTTCCTCCTTTCTCAAGTTGTTAAGGCCAGTGAGAGCTGTTCTAAGGTTCAAGTGAAAGTGAGTAGTACTTCAATGGTTCCTAAAGAAATAGTTCTGGTCCCCTGTTAACTCAGGGTTCATTAAACTTAACTCTACTTTCCCTGGAATTAGGTGTTTGCCCTCTGGTTTCCAGGGCTGAGGGTGTAGCTCAACAGTAGAGCACTTGCCTAGCATGTGCTGTGCCCTGGATTTGGTCCTGGGTACCACCCAAACCCAACTAAAACAAATAAACAAAAACTACATCCAATTTTCAAAAGCTATTCTCTTAGGCAAAGGTTATAGTACATTCTCAGACAGAAAAGAAGCCCAGCCAGGCTGGTGCAAGGAGCCATAGGGTCAAGTCCCCTCATAGTATAAGCTGATTTCCTTTTGGTAAAGTTGATTGTGAACCCTTCATATTGATCCCTCAAGTAAAAAGATTTTAAGCAGTTTAATCTCTTCTGATAAGCAGTTTTTTCTTTTTGTGAGTGTGGGGGAGGATACTAGAGATTGAACCCAGAACTTCATGCATACTAGGCATGTATTATACCATCCATCTACCCCCACAGTCCTCATCTTGTTCTAAATGTTATCTATATATGTACAGCACACAACAGTTCCCAATAAATTGTTGTTGGGTGAGTATTTCATTGAAAGCAAAGGACCACCCTTGGGGCCTATGGACCCCCATCATGCTGACTTCCCTCTTAGTCAATAAAGTCTGGCTGGAACACTGTCACATGAATGTGTGTATATAGTACATATGACTACAATTCTGAGGGCATATCTGTGCCCTGTACTCATAATCTCACATGGATGGGAATGCATGCAGATATCTTGGCACTCAGGCAGTGACCACTGAGCAAAGATAATGAAAATGTATGATTGTCCAATTGTGTTTTTTTTAATTTCTTCCTCTGTGTGTATGTCTTTCTGTGTGTGTGCATGTGTATGCATGCGTGTGCGCGCTCTGAATGTATGTTTGCGCACCACATGCAAGTTGGAGCCCACAGAGGTCAGAAAAGGCCACCACCATGTGGGTACTGGGAACCAAACCCTGGTCTTCTGCAAAAGCAACAAGTGCTTACAACCACTGTGCCAGCTCTCTAGCCCTCAAATTGTGACAATTTCTCTGAGAAAAATATGGCAGCTGGCCTTCTTGAGATTCTTCACAGAACGTGAAAATACTATTACTGCAGCAGATCCAGAGATAATATCAGACAACTGTATGGCTGTTTTCCAATCTCTTGAACTAAAACTTCTGGCCTTTGTTACAACAGTCAATCTTTAGATATGAGAAACAAAAATAAAACCACTTCTGTGTTGTACTTTTAAGCAGAACTTAGAGATATTAAACACAGAGTGACCTGCAGTGTTGTGACATCAGACTACATACTTTAATCCCAAGGACAGGATCCAGACACCTAGAAGGAGTGAAACACCCCACTGATTCTAGACATGGGCAAGAATGAAGAAATAGTCTATTCCTTACATAAGCAAACTACAACATGATCTCCTTCTGAGATGGTACAAAAAAGTGGCTATGGTGGATCATGGGGACACATACGCTTTTGAGTAGTCATCACCAAAGTGGGTGCATGATATAAATAATGGGAAATTGAAGAAAGAAAAGCAACACAAGCTCCCATCCATATCCCCCATTTACTTTGATAATATGATGTAGAGACAAGTGACTGCCAGGCTGGAATGCTTTTACAAATTATCACTGGGAACAACCAAGTGACTAATACAGCTGGTGAGGAAGACCATATTCACTGAACAAGGTCTTTTCAAAGCTGTGTTTGTCTTTGTCTGTTGGCAGCCATTAGCTAAAATGTGAGGGGAAAGACTAGATTCTGCCATAATACTGGACAGGGCTGCAGACCATCATTTGGGAAATAAAGTCTGACTGGAACACTGTTACATGCTCTTATACACATACATCTGTGGCTGCTTCTTCATGCCCAGGATGGCAGAAGTGAGCAGGCACAGCAAAGATTTGTAGCCTGGAAGAGTAAAATATTTATAGGAAAAGTGCACCATGGCCTGGCATCAAGTGGTAAGTAGGGCTTGGTATACAAAGTGGTTAGTATAATTAATAAAATCAGCCTGTTTCATAATCTGAAACCTAGCAAGAAGGACTCCTTTGCCCATCCTTTGTTCTGATCATTTTGTAGTAATACAACTTGTTGGGTGCATACTGTTTTTGTTTGTTTGGTTTGTCTGGTTTTGCATTTTACAGTCAATGTAAAATTGAAGAAAACATGAATTCTCACTTTGTTTTCTGCTTTCACTCTTCCTTTTTAAATATATGTTATTCAAAAGAAGAAAATAAAATAAAATCATCCTGTAAAACAAGGCATTCTTTTATTTCCTCTTATTCACTCTCTAAAGTATCACGGAGCTGGGTGAGGATCAAAAGTCTCTGTCCCTACTGTTGGTTATTTGCCAATAAACAGCACAATATGGTTAAAAGTCAAATGAAGCGACTTCTAATGATGCCATTCACTCCTCCAACAGGAGCTCAGAGCACAGGAGGAAGAATGACATTTCAGAGGAACATGTTATTAAATGAATAAATGACTGACAAATGGTGATTAAAACTGGGAGTGGAGCCTCCCTGTCTCTAAAGCCAGGGTGTCCCATTCTTCCTCCATCCCATAGCCACCCCCTCTCCTGGCCAAATAGCTCATGTGTATGTCTATTTGGTCTAAAGGAAAAAGAGCAAAGGGGTGACTTTGGACTACTCCAATTCATCACCAGTCCTGGTGAAGGCGGGTGGACATCATGCAGACACTGGTTGTTCTGCATGTCCGTGGATGCAGCAAGACTAACAGATGGTGCCACTAAGATCTCTTACCCTAAACTGACATGTATTTCCAAGTAACATAAAAACACGATCTTATAACTTACTGTTACAATGGAGGTTTATGCTCAATTTCAAGGAAGAAATAGCATGGTCAAGTCGTGAAAGCATGTTCACGGAACTGATAGCAAAAATGGAACAGCCAGACCAAGTTGCTCAGATCTTTCTCCACATTTGAATTTTCTTTAAAACAAAAACCCACAACTCTTCCCCTCCCCAAACCATCAAAGGATGCCATGTCATGCCTATCACATATGTCCTCTGCCATCTGGCCAGCCACTTTTTGCTACAGCCTATTCCCCAGGCCCCGTCACTTCAGATGCTCACCTTGGCAAGCTCTAACAGAGAATAACAGCGTCTAAAACTTTCCTTGTATCACATTCGCATAAACAAGTTAGTAAATGTCAGTGAGAATGTCATGGATCCTTCAGAATAATGTTAACATGTTAAATGTTCCAGAGAATTGTTTTTTTCCTTAAACAAACGAAAAAAAACAAAACAAAACAGAGAACCAACATGCACATGTTTTGCTAAATTTAAAAAATAAGCAGAAAGAATTTGTTAATATTGTAAACAAGTCACTGATTCAAATTCATCTTGTATTCTGACTCTGTCCTCCAATTTACTTTCAACCAAACATGATTTCCAATTTACCACATTTCTCTCTTCCTACGTGGCTAGGAACTTAATTTGATACTTGGATTCTGGGATTGATTTCAGCAATGATTTACAGGAACTGAACTAGCCTGCTTATAATTATTCTAGGAGATTCCAATTTCCTACATGTAATAAAAAGAATTTTCAGCACAGATACTGCCCCTCTGCCCCCTCTCCCTGCATAATAGAGCTCCAAAGCTGTTAGGGATTCAATTGCTTTTCTACCCCAGCAATTCCAGACACATCTGTTTTCACAAATGAAGTGATGCTAAGTGATACTCCACGGACACAAATGGAAACCTAACTTTCCATCTTTTTATTAGCAGAGCCATCATCCACTTCCTTTAATTGCCTTATTCATTTTCTCTGCTCATTCCATCTTTGCTGAATCTGTTTATTCAATTCTGCCACTTAATTCTACACTCTCATTTAAAAAAACTGTCACTTGTAATAATTTTGCATTTGCTATACTCATCTGAGAAAGCCTGCTTTATTTCCTTAAAAACAAAGCAAAACAAAACAAAACCCAAAAGCAAACCCCTGTCTATCCCTGAACACTCTGTGTGAATCTTGGTTGCTCAGCAGCATTCCGGGACACTATGAGAACATTGCAAAAACGTAAACGCCTTCCCTTTTGTGAAGACTCGGATCATTTTTGTCTGAAATAAGAACAAAGTGAGTCTGATCGAGTTTCTAAAGACACAGATCTCTTGGTGGCAGTTAGTGAATTGCAATAGCTCAGATGTGTTCCCCTATATAAAGTCCCTCTGGGAACAGACACCAACCAGAAAAAGCTGAGGTCAATTTAAAAATCTTACTTTAATTTACATTCTTCATAGACACTGTAATAATTATCCAAAGCTATTCATTCGCAAGCTGTTGGGTGCTAGCCATTGGGCAACAATACCTCTAATTAACAGACAGGCATTGCCCCTGCCACCAATAACTGAAAACCAGTGGGAAAAGAGGCACACATGGAATCACATATATGCATACAGACCTCTGTGAAGTAACAAAAATATAGAGGCTAACATGTAGGAACTAAGAAGTCTTGCAGACAAGCAAGAAGAAGAAAAAGATTCTCCAAGCTCCAAAATGTACACAGTTCATTTTATAAGTAATATTGTTAAGTTTACAAATGTTAATGTCAATGAAATAAGCATAGGGTTTAGACAATTAACATTACATCTGAAGGAATACAGAAGCAATGAGTATACAGGACCATTCGTGGCTACAGTTTTATAATAATGGCCCAGCAAACTAGGGAATGACAAGGATACTTATGGGAGTTTGGACTTTGGGCAGTTAGTATATGAACATGGTCATCCAAATCAAGATGCACTGATAAATCATCTTCCAGAATTCTTGGGGTGGGAGTCCACACAGTGATCACAATCCTTGTGGCTGCAGATTGAGAATAAATTTCCTGGCCCCGATTCTGATCCAAACATGTGTCACACATGTGACCCTAGCTTAGTAACTTGTCATTTTTGAATTATTTAACAACTAGTGTTTATGCATCCTGGTCATCTTTAAAGTTCCTCTGAAAATGGCATTTTGCTTCTAATGTGTTGCCTCTATAATGATAGCTAGTTAGTTTTTATATCCTGGGGATGTAGTGGCAACCTGTAGACCTGATATTAAATATGTAGATGATGTAAAATAATGACAGTCTACGAGACTAAATGAGAATTAGCCACACATTTGTATAGTAAAGACTTTATGCCTTTTGTTTTTGAGAGAAAAAACAAAAGACCCATTTCTACAGATCTAGATGGTCTTGCAGAGGTCGCAGTGGTTTTATCTGTCACAGGCAAACACGACATTAATAAAAAACATGTATAAAGCAAAATCATCCATTTTAGGAGAAAAATGCTCTAAACTGTGGTAAGTTTCTCCAGGATATTACTACATCATCACACATGCAATCAACTTAGACGGAGATGAAAGTTGATAAATACACTATTGCTATTTGACCATTCATGTAGATTAGGGGAAAAGTGAAAAAAATCACATACAAGAAAAGACAGAGTGTCTTTTGTTAGAGGAGGAGTAGGCTGGCTATAAGGATTGAACTAAAGTACTAACTTTAAAATCCAATTGCTATGTACTTTTTGCCCCTGAATTGTAAGTTTAAAAGTGATTAAATGGCAAATGTGTGGATTTTATCATGCTTCTAAATTAAATTTTAAAAATGAAACTTGTCTACTTAGGATGGAATATTAATATAGGCAGAAAAATCTATATGAAAGTAAACGGCCTTTACCCCAATGTGCTATGAAGCTGAATTGCATGAAGATGTGCTTTTTTATGTTTAAAATGGTTGACAGCAGCAATTTCATGTGGCTCAACCCATATATTCATAAAGAAAATGTGACTGAAGAATTACTATCATTTAAAGACTGCAACTGAGTATAAAAGACATGACAAAGAACCTTAGCATGATGAATTTTTTGAAACCTGAGCCCATGTAGTTATAAAACATGTTTTTGTGCATCTTATGACAGTTTTTATCTCGAAGCGAAGAGATCAATTACAGTGTAGCCAGACACAGCTAACCTAACAGCGGCTGAGATGTTTCTAGGGGGCATCAAACTTGACCTCAGGCATAGTGTCTCTTTTCTGCCATTTTCTTGGTGCAATAACACCAATTTCTCTAAAGTCTGAATGTCAAAACGGTGACATGGTCTGAGTCTTCTTTTAAGGATGGAGCCCTTGGACAGTTTTCCTCCTCCAAATCTTTAAGACATAATCAGCAAAAGACCTCTTCTCTCCTATCAGTGTTAGGCGACAAAGCTGAGGTTAAGCTCTCACTATAAATGAATCTGATACATGGAAAGAACAATCATGTTAGAATAAGAAACTTACAGCATGTCTAAATTACCCCGGTATTATTGGAATAAAAGCATATTTAGCATGCATGTCTCTCCGGTTCCTCCTTAGCATTAGCACGGAATAACGCATCCCCTAATCCCTAAATGTAGCATGCAGAACACAGAACCCAAGTTATGATTGATTATTTTAGTAAAAAAGAGAGAGAGACAGTTTTCACACTCCAGTAGTCCAAGGTGACAAACTACAGACATTCTTCTATGAAATACCATGTTACATAGAAATACTTGCAACAGAAATAAAAGAGAGGCTACACTATTAATTTAACATTAGACCCCAGGATAAAGACAAAACCCATCCTAAAAAAGAACACACCATCAGGGATTGTTTGCGAGCCGTTTTACAAGAGACAAAACCTGGATAACCCCTTTTAAGCACCTCAGTGAAAAGCTTTAAAACAGGCTATTGTCAGAGCGCTGGGTACCTTTTCTCTCTTGGCTTTGTTCAGTATTTTCCTCCGCTGCAGTTTCCATGGCTGGCTTCATACCATCCACCAAAAATGCTTTTCCCTGCTTCCCCCCAACACACACTTTTCCCCCTCCTCTTCCTTTTCTTTTGGACTCCCCTCCGTCTCTCTTCTTTACACCCGCCTGATTGAGAGGCTCTGTTCTTCACTACAGTAGATTACAGTGCCATCCAAAATGCAAAAGTCTTGTCAGCGTCAATTTCGCTCTGCCTACTGGTCCATAGAGACAGCTGCCAAGGAGCAGGCGACCATACGTCACCGAGGATCCCAGTTATAAAACAGCCACTGTTTGCCCCCACTCCCAGTGCACCCCGGGAAGGTCCTGCTCCCCCACCAAGCTCTTCCTCCTTGCTGTCTCCCTCTTAAGATCTCTCCTTCCCTCCCTCCCTCCCTCCCTCCCTCCCTCCCTCCCTCCCTCCCTCCCTCCCTCCCTCCCTCCCTCCCTCTCTCTCCTCCCTTCTTTCTTCTTGCCAACTGCAACCCAATGAATACTAATTAATTCTCCCAGGAAATAATAGACTTGTGACATCAGAGGAAAGGATGTGGAGAAGAAAGAAAAGACCCCCCCTCCCACCACATGACTTGGTCAGGCCACACTATATGTTATCTCTCAAGAGAATGCCTGTTTTCCTAGGCTTCCCCTTTCTGGGGCATTGGTTTTGTTTATTTTATTTATCCCCAAGCCCTGGCAAAGAATCTTCAAAAACTGTGTCCTTGTTCTGTTTTTAAAAAATACTTCCGTTTCACAAATATCTAGACAGGCTGATTTTAAAAGAATACTAAAGTCAAGAGGATAAAAGTCCTCGAGAGGGAAGAAACTCCAAATAGATTTAACAATGGTACCATAGCAATTCAGTATTATAATCTACTTCTTTGTATTAATATATGAGAAATTTAGCTTAAACCCAATTTCTAAAATGGGGGATCTATGCTGATTCAACTATCAGTATATTAGAAGTATATCTAGCTGATATTTTGCTGGTTTCTAATATGAAAGTCAAAAGTTTTTTTAAACACATTTGCATGGCATTTTATTCATTAGAACTCTTCAGTCAAACTCTCAAGAGGGTACTTTTTTTTAAAGAGGGTACTTTTTAAGAGCACTCTAAACATCTGGCTTCAAGGCTAGTGTACCAACAGGGATTCCAAGGATGCTGATGGCTGATTTCACAAGTCCTTCTGCACTAGCAATGTTCTTAGCTCACAGTAAACATTTAAGCACCACCGGTTTCAGAGACATTTGTATAATTGCGTTTAGCCCACTCCCCTTCATTATCCCTACTGAAAAAAATTCTAGAAACTAAAGTCACACGCAAAGATAACTATTGACAACCACAGGATAAAGGAATCCTGAACCCACCATAGTCTGCTTAACACTACCTTGGGAGTAAACATTAAAGGCAAGTTGGAGGGCCAGTGAAATGGCTCAACAGGTAAAATAGTCTGCTGCCACGCCTGACCACCAGTGCTCCATCCCTGGGACTCCCAATGGTAGAAGGAGGGAACTGATTGCTGCAAATTGTCTTCTAACCTCCAGATTGACTTGTGTGTGCGCACACAATTATAAAAAAGGTGTAAACCACCACTCCTAAAACACATTCTCCAAAGTTTTATGCTTTTTTTGCACAATACCTGAAAACAATGTGGGAAGATCCCAAATCAAAATCCTGTAGCAGCCTGATCTTTTAATGCTTCGGTTTTAGATAATCTCTCATGCCCTTTTACATTCAAGTTTCTGCTATGCTGAACCAGAAAAGACTTTGAAAACCAGTTTGGCCAGCTTCAACACTTTCTTTTCATTTTCTATCTCACTTTCCACTTTTCCCATTGTTTCTGAAGATCATGCCCACAGTCAGCTATTTCCCCAAAATATGGCTTCAGCCAATTTTATTGTCTTCTGGTGAAGGGATTGGGGAGATACCACCTAAAACTTTAGCCTTTGGGAGAGAGAGGGGGTAGAAAAAGAGAGAGAGAGAGAGAGAGAGAGGGAGGGAGGGAGGGAGGGAGGGAGGGAGGGGGAGGGAGGGAGAGGGAGGGAGGGAGGGAGGGAGGGGGGAGGGAGGGAGAGGGAGGGAGGGAGGGAGGGAGGGAGAGAGAGAGAGAGAGAGAACCTCCATGGGAAAATTTATAGTGTGCCCTAACAGAACAATTTGAAACGTGTATAAGAACAACTTAGGTTTATTCAGACAGAAAGGTACAAAGAACAGCGCATAAATGTTTTCCTTGTGGGTTGGTTTTAGTCCTCAGGACTCATGTGATACGAGGAGAGAACTGACTTCCACAGTTATCATCTGACCTTTACACACATATCATTACACATGTGTATGTACATACAGTGAAATAAATGAATGTAATTGAAAATTAGATGTTTAATTGCAATTAACTATGTTAGTGCATATTTTATAAAATGTCTAACAAAGTCATTTAATTCTGGAACTATCAGAGTAGCCTAATTTCTTGGACTCTTCTTCAGACTAAGAGCTATTTATGTAAGAGACAGGGTCTGGCTACAGTGAGGCACCTACCACTGAACCAAATTGGGAACATTAGTTTAATAATACAAGTAAAAAGGCAAGGTATGAAAGGCAGCCTAAATTTAGGACAGTTGTCATTCTATAACATAGTGACAAATCAAAACCACTGGGCAAAATGTTCATGTCTACATTTTTACAGGTAAATAAGCAATTCATTATTTTTACCCTATTTCCAACTCTACTTTTGTTTGGACCATGACTTATGACAATAGTTCTGGAAATTGCCATTGTATCAGTTCAAAAATCTCAGAGGTTTATGACAAACCATATGATTTAGAAAGAATAGAAAGAAGCAATAGAGAAAGAAGCAATGAATAGAGAAAGAAGCAACGGAGATCTTGTTAAGAAGAAAAAACAGAATTCATGTTTAAAATATTTTAGAGGTATGCATCCATAATTTTTGGTCAGAAAAGCTCAATATATAGAATTAACAGGATATGAAATGTCTCCCTGAGATGAAAATATTTTTTGAGCCCTGTGATATAAGACAATAAAGATACTTCTAAATGCTGATGCAGGAATAAGAGACATCAACAGAAAACAGATGTATTAGATTGAACCTCATGAAACTTCTGGTGCTGTCTACAAAGAAGTGCAGTTTCACAGAGCTTATTTTGTCCACCTATACATCTGCTGGAACTTCACAGTGAGTTCAGTAAGTATGCATGTCCTTGGAAGAGTCTCCCATGTGCTAATGTCTACAAGTATGGCCATGAGCAAGCCATGATATATTTTCTAGGTAGTCCACAGGATAATGGGTCACAGGGAGCTTGCTTAACAGAGCACTCCTTTCTGCCAGTGATATCACAAGATGAACAGAGGAGGAGTCCTTAAGCATCTAGTGGATGCCAGGAGCCACCTTTCTGTGGCATGTGAGCATGTTTGGTCATCTGAAAATTCATCAACTTTCACAGTGATCTGCCTAGTCTAACCACATGGTCATAGAACAATTTTCCAATTGCCTCCTTTCCTCAACTTTCTGAAATTATACTTTAGGTTTGTTTTTTATTTTTATTTTGTGTATCGGGGCTCAAAATGATTAGAGTCAACAAACACTAGGAGGAGATTTTTTTCCAATTCATTCCAAGTCTAATTCCACTACAAGCCCTTTTGGTTCACAGAACATTTATGTCACATGAAATATACTTTGCCATAATCTTTACTCATTGTTCCACAAAGGAAATTCTGTAAAAATATAAGAAACACAAACTAGAAAAACAGAATAGTGCTAGAAATTAAGAATATGAATCTTTTTTTTTTTTTGTTTTTAGAGACAAGGTTTCTCTGTATTGTTTTGGAGGCTGTCGGTCCAGCCCGGCCTCGAACTCACAGAGATCCGCCTGCCTCTGCCTCCCGAGTGCTGGGATTAAAGGCGTGCACCACCACCGCCCGGCTAAGAATATGAATCTTAAGAATTGGTTTTTATCTATAATTAGACTGTATCAAAACATTTATCAATTTGGTAAGGCCTTTGTATTGCATGATAATGCAATTTCTATTTTTTTTTTAGTCAGAAGGATTTCCAAAGCTCGTAGCCAGCCTGAGCTAACAATGAGATCTCTCTCTCTCTCTCTCTCTCTCTCTCTCTCTCTCTCTCTCTCTCTCTCTCTCTCTCTCTCTCTCTCTCTCTCTCTCTCTCTCTCATACACACACACACACACACACACACACACACACACACGAACAAATCAAAAGAGGGCTGCCACACTAGTGGGTAAGAACACTGACTGTCAACCCTGACAATCTAAATTGCATCCTTGGGACCCAGATGGTGAAAGCAGAGAAAGTTGTACTGTGACCTCCACATGTGTGCTGTAGCACATGTGACCTTTACACACAAACTAAGTCAAAATGTTGTCAAAATAATACATAAAAATAATTGAGTTTCTAATTTTTCATATAAATGTGAGATTTGGAAAATGCCTTTGGATTCATTACGTATTATTATTTCCTCTCCTGATGTCTTTCCTCCATATCTTCATTTATCTGCTATACTTTACAGGAAATGGCAACTTATATTGAGCTGAAAGTACAGATCAAGTCAGATGATGTTTATGAACACTTGTTAGAAATTGTGAAGCTAGGGACTGGAGAGATGACTCAGTAGTTAAGAGCACTGGCTGTTCTTCCAGGAAACCTGAATTTGATTCCTAACACCTACATGGTAGTTCACAACCATCTATACCTCCAGTTCCAGGGGATCTGACACTCTCTTCTGACCTCTGAGGGTACTTGGAATGCATGTGGTGCACAGATAAGCATGCAGCCAAAACACCTGTATACATAAAATAAAGTAAAATTATTTTAAAATTGTGAAGTATGAGTTGAAGATGTAGCTCAGTGGCAGAGTGCTTGCCTAGCATACAAGAGGACCTGACTTCAATTATTAATGCCACAAAAATAAACGACGAATCTTTGTAAGGGTAAGCCATCATCCATAGTAGCTCCCTTTAACAGTAGAGGTTGTTCCCAACTAGATCCTTGGCTAATGTCCACAACTATGAGAATAAGATGATTTTTCCCCCTTACTTTCCAGCCTCATCAGCTGTTTACTTAGTGTCAGGCAGTAACCTCGTTAGAAGATCCAGGAGCTGCCAAAACAGCAATTGTTAAGTTTGGCAACAGTCAGCTTGAGGTGTTCCCAGCTCCTCTGTCCAAACAAAAAACCTTCAAAGAACCAAATGTTCAAACAGAGAGTAAGAACAAGTTTCGCATGCACAGACTAGGGTTCAACATGATGGCAGCAGGTGCAACAGGGCAGTTTCCACATTCCCAGCTGAGGAATGGGCTCAGCATAGGAGGCACTATGGCATGGG